ACTAAAAATATCATAGAAGGAATTAAAACACAAATCAAAACACAATGAACTGCTGAAATAAATGCTGTCTAAGAGGTTGATGAAGCTCCAGGCCATTTTTAAAGCCTCAGTTTTAAGTGTTTCTAAAGTATTTTCACTGGAACCACTTTTCGTCTGCCCTCACAACAGTTTACGTCATCAAACAAAGTGTTTTTCTTTGTCTTCTGTCATTGACGGTGTCAGACCAGTGTCCCAGTTTGCAGGATAATTGATTTCATACAAAAGCACAGCATGACGCCACAGAAATTTCCCAGCGATCGAAATCATATGACACAAGTCATTTGGCTCGTTGGGTTAAAGTTGGGTTCAAACTTCTGAGGGTTCATTGGCTGTGTATTGAAGAATTCTGTGTGACAAATATACAAGAGACTTCAGCAGAAAATAGCAGCAGGGAGTTTGATGGAGGCAGGTGAAATAACAAAAGACAAAATGAAATACATCCTGAAAGAAAGTACAAACTACCACTTTAATCCGCTGCACTGTTTAACACATCTCTACTCTGTTTATATTGACATGAGACTTTTCACTCAGCATGACATTCTGCTTAGTGTTCACATTGTCCACTTGCAATCTGCTTTAAAAATACACAATCAAACACACACTGTATTACATACACATATGCTGTGATCATCTTCGTTGAAGAAGTCGTGTGTTTGCTAAACAGAAAACAAAAATTCTACGATTTTACCAAGAAATTCACTACAGACCTGCAGTGCTAGAATCATATGCGAGGCAGGAGATACTATGACCGAAGTCTGTTAGGAGGTGACTTCTGCATGCAACATGTCATGTGTAAGGAAGTGATGCAGAGCACATCACAAGGCTGAACTATCTGATGTTATTCAACTGTACTTTGTGAGCAAAAGAAAAGGCCTGTGCTTTGTGTTGGAATCCCACTTGTATTATTTTTCACATATTTCAAATTAAAAGCCAGAGCATAAACACCAACAAAATTATTTGAAACACAGGATATTACAGTAAATTTAAAGGGAAAATACAACCTGAACCATAAACTCTCTGTAACATCTTTTTATTGGGCCAAATATTAGGACAGATCTACAAATTAATCTTAAACATCCATAACCAAAATATCTGAAAAACTGTACTGTAAAAAAAAAAACCTTTTCTGTCCTTTTAAAATGCACAATAATAATAATAAAATTAGGAAAATAGATTGAATTTAGAAATTACATAGCTATTACAATCCAATGACTTGTTCTGTTATTAGTTTCTGACTACAATAAATGGTATAATTTTCGTTTACATTTATTTCTTTATTTTCTTAAAGATTAAATGCCTCCCACACAACTGGTGGGTTTTGGAGTTCAAAAGGTTAAAGCTACATTAGTCGATGTTTTAATGTTAACAACATCAACAAGTTCCTGGATTTTTGTGACTGTTGGTTGCAGCCGAGTGACTTCTTAGTTATTTTTGCAGAATGTGATGCAAAGCTTTTATTTTTGGCAAAATTTTAAATGAGCCACGTAGAATAAAAATGATTTTAGTGAAATTTCATGATTCTAAACTGAGATTTGATTAATTTTCCAATTCAACTGCACATCACACATGATTAGTTTAGGGACTTTCAGAAAGTTATAAATTCCACTGTTGTTACCTGTTTTTACAGCTTTTGTCCCAGATAACCTTTTAAAAGACAGTGTGCTTTTCAAACCCGCTGATGGTTTAAACAATACATGTAATTTAATTTTAAACTCAAAATTTACCCAGAAATCTGCAGAATTCGATCTTAAAATGTAGAAAATCCTCACCTTCTGCTCTGGTTCTGGGCTCTGGGCCCCTGATATCTATTAATCCTGAACATGCCCCTGGAATTGGTATCATATGAGGGCAGGATGAGTTAGTCAACATGTGACTCTCTGCTCCGCGACGAGTTGGATGATTGGAGATGAAGGAGTTTTTGTTATTTCCCTCCCATCGGCTCGACACACCTCCTCAGCAGCAGTGTGGCTACAAATGAGACTGCGGAGTGAAGAGTTTAGAAAAGTTGTTCAGATGAGCTGTTTCTCATCTGTAAAGGAGCAGATCACACAGGAGGAGTAATTATTCATGACTTAAATGGCAGAAGAACTGTTACTGGAAAACGATGGGAAACACAGCGGGGTGAGTGGCAACAGTTTGGATCAAGCTGTTGCACTGAGTTGTTGTTATACTGGTCCAGGTGTTATATGTAAAGTCTTTCATTGAGCAGGTTTAGTCACATATTTGGTTTATTTATGTCATGAAGGTCTCTGTATTTCATTTGTTTGCATTAGAAATAGATTCCAGGTTCATATCAGAAGCTTCCTGCGCTCCATGACATGAATATTTCACAGTATTTACACATTTTAAACCTCCTTTAAGGCAAAAAATCTAAACTAAAGAATCATATTCAAACATAAAAAGTGGCCCCAGGCTTTGACCAGAGTGATGCAGCATGTGAAGAGCTGCACATCTGACACATAATCAACCTAAATTGATGCTGACTGGCCTGCATTGTGTCCTCTGGGCTATTTTCACGTGTAGCCGTCTAACAATCTCCACCAGGTTATTACTGGCCAAATTAGGTTTCAGGAAGGAACTATGCTGTTTTTGTTCATTCAGAGCAAAGGGTGACTTCTCAGTCTGCTGGTCTTTGTAGTAACACACCGGTGTCATATATTTCCACATCACTAGTTGCATTTAGCTCAGAATATCTGCCAGTATGAAAGAATGTTGGGGTTATTATTTCATGCGCTCAGCTACCTGTTTTTTATGGACATTGAAAAACCCATGATAATCCACATGGCCTTTATCTCGGAGGTCAGCTGAGCTCAGTGTGAGGAATTTAGGATGGCAGCCAAGAGGGGAGCTTCAGGCCATTACTAATGAAAATACAGTAGGAAGCCTTCAGTGGGACTCATGTGACTCAGAGGTCTCTGGGTGGCTGACAAAAGAATCCAACATGAGAGAAAACTTTTTGTCAGATGTACTTAACACATGCTGCTTAGCACTTGTAAAGTCTGGCACTTTAATGTCCACAACTCCACCATTTGTTGTCTAAGAGATCATTTCAGACAACTCTGAATGTCTGACAATGGGATCTTTTCCTTTGAAATGTCCACCAACTTTGCTAAGCCGTTCAGGATAATTGGAACAACATTCCATGAGCAGCATCGACAACCTCATGAACCCTGTTTGTCACAGATGTGTTCCACTATGTGATGCAAATGGTGACACACTGACTTGTGGTTTCTGGTCAGTGATCCCACTCTTCTTCTGTCCGGTGTTATTTCCAAAGAGCTTGGTTGTTTCATGATGTCCATTCATGGAATTAGTAGATATTCACCTATGGTACAAAGAATAATACAATTTGATAAAACAGTGCATGCTGAGGTTATAGTTTAATTCACTATGAATACTTGCTGCACACATGATTATCAGATAGACTGAAAATGTGCATAACATCAGTCAATATTCTGGTAGTTTTGATCATAGTGACTCATTTGTTTTCATGACAATACCTTTAAATTGGAGGGTTTTTCAGTTTTTGGGTACATTTTAGGATTTATTTCAGCTCAAAATTCATAGAGCTGTGTATCTGAACAGGTCACAGTTCCATAAAAACTGACATTTCACAATTTAGTTTTTCTCACTTGTTCCTTTAATTGTCTCTTCCACAGCATCTCACAAGGTCACTGCTGGCGGTGGCTTTCCTGTCCTCATTTGGCAGCTCCATGCTCTATGGATACAACCTGGCTGTTGTTAACTCTCCTGCTCAGGTTTGTTTCTCATCCTCATGACAACCATTGCTCTCATTGCTGCCGTCATCGCTGACAAAAGTATTGAAAGAGTTTTCACGCTTTTGTCAGGGAGCCTTTAAATATTCCCTGTATGATTCAGCACTGAGATAATAATGGATGACGTCTGAGTTCCCCAAAGCTTCACCTGCCAGTTTAGACACGGTGAAGCTCATGTTGGATCTCATAGTCATGTGGAATCATGTGGTTTTGTGTATCTACCTCAGCATATCATCGATGTTATGCCGTTTTTACTCCGTCATGTGCTTCCTTCTGTTCCCCTGGTGTTGGATTTGCTGTGGTACAGTGACTAAAGCTGTGATCCATTCCTGGTTGGCCATGGGCAGAATCACATTAAAGCATGTGAGCATGTTCAGAAGATGCAAATGCACCCATAGCTTTGAACCCAAAGTTTCTCATCTTTTTCTTTTTTACTGTCCTCATTAGCGATAGGTCGATATGGTTGTTTCAGGGCCGATATGGATTATTGGTAATCAAGAAAGACCAAAAACTGACATTTCGAACTGATACACATTAAAGGTCATATTTTAACAGTATGTAATGGCAGAGAACCTGTTAGTCATAGCTAGACCTCTTCATTAATAAGGATTACTATAGCTGAATATGTATGCTTGCAAGAAGAGTGATAATATGAGACCATCACCAGACTGAAATCAGCAGTTTGTCTCATGCAGTTATTTCTACTGTTCTTCTGTTTTCTTAAACTTTCACGGAAATATCATTTTTATTGCCCACTAAAGCCCAGATCTTAAAGCATTATTAATTATTGTTTTCCCAGATGCTGTTTGGTAATAATCTGTGGCTGCCTCCTAACTTAGCCGCCAGCTGTTAGCATACCCTTAGCCACTGTGAAAATAGCTAATTTCCTAGTTTGTGGCTTTGGCTTGTGTTTCTTGTCCAATTTTTACAGCTTGTGTCTCTGCTAGAGAGACCACAGAGTGACTACAGACAGAGAGAGGCAACTGCATCAGACCCAAAGTAGTGCTTTTTAAATTTCATCTGTATTCAGCGAATAAAAATGATAATGATACAGATATTGTGAAAAATGCAAAATAAAGGACCTGATAATTGTCCATGCCGATAATCTGTCTGTACCTAGTGTTGATTCACTGAACCTGGAAGCTTAGGTTTCTACCCTAAAGCTACTTTGTCAGAAACTTGTATGTTATTATAGAAAAAAACAGTATAAACCTCTGATACCTGGTCAACTCAGGCTCATTATGGGTCAGGAATTAAGCACAGTGCCGTGTCTAATGTCACCATTGTGGGATACCCAAAACTTTTTATTTTCACAACTTTGCACATTGCGGATCAAAGGAATATTTAGACATTTATGAATTTTGCTCAACAGTGTGTTGAGTTAGATCAGAAACTAAATACCACTCTCATATCTTTGTGTTAACTATGGAGCTAGAGTCAGTTATTAGTGACTGAACACAGGGGAAAACCGCTGGCCTGGCTCCGTCTAATGGTCATGCACTGCATTATTTCTTGGCAAAGGTAACATCAGATGACACAGAGGAAAACTTGTAGTCACCAAATTCCCAATCTCCACGCTTCAGTTCCACAACAGGCTTCAAGAGGAGAATCAATCCTCTCATCTAATTCAAAGCACGAGACTTTGAATCCTGAGCTGTTCCTTTTTAAATACAAGTATGCCAGCACTATCTCTTCCATGGATAAGATGAACAGCAGCCTGCACATGGCTTTTAGCTGTAATCTGTTTAGCTGTGACCATCAGAACTAGTGACAGCTGGAGCGATTTCCTAGCTCCGAGTGTCACATGTTTAAAATGTCACCGAGCAAATCAGTGACATCCTCGACTGCTTATTTTAGAAGGATAGTCATGGTAAAGGAAGAGAAATTTAGTGTCTGACAAGTAAAATTACATTGTATTTGAAAATCTTGGACATGGTTAGGGCTGCAAGGTGGAACGGTGGTTAGCATCGTTGCTTCGCAGCAAGAAGGTCGCCA